AGATGGGGGAAGACAGCCAGGTTCACTGGGCTGTCGTATCTGCTCATGGCCTTGAGCTCCATTTTGCTCCAGTAGGCTAAGCCGCCACTCTGCCACCGGAAGACTTCTGTTATTTCTTAACTTTTGCTTTCCTGATTTCATCTGTGCTCTCTGACTAGGTAATTATATCTAGCGATGTTATCTATTCTGATTCACAGTATCCAGCAGACCTGATTTAATCATCACATTCTCATTATAAGGCTCAACAAGTAACGTTCACAATTTTCCAAAGCCATAGACTGATCATCTGACCTACAAATACTCTAAATTCCTGATCATCTTCCCATCGTTTATGGCTCTGAATGGCTTTTTGTCCAAAGCATCCAGCACCATTTTCATGTGGGTAGTTTCCCCTGCTGGTAAAAATAGTGAACACTTTTCCTTATCCACCCCATACCCCAACAGAGACATGAGATCCACTATCACTGTCTATCTGAGTGTGTTTGAGATCTTCAAAATCTGCAGTGCTGATACCTCAATATGGAATGAAGTGAACCAACAAGCTCTCTCTGACTTTTGTTTATAAGGATTTGCATACATTTTCTGGTGGATACTAGGCTTATTTCTGGGAATATGTAGCAATTTAAAGCATTGTGTCTCATGTCAAAGTTTGCTTTACACAATCTGAGACTAATCTATTTGGTAAGTTTTCCTTTCTGTTAATCTGTACCCTTATCATTACAGTGACTCCCATCCTCACTCTAATTTCATCTTTTCTGGGAGTAAGTACTTGGTGGAACATATAGAGGCAAAGAGGAAGCTGGTTTATGCAGCTGAAGAGAGCAACAAAGGAAACAGACAATGCAAACCAGAGTCCGGAACTATACCAGGATATCTTTCTCTATTCCCATGGATTTTCAGCTTGATTTTTTCCTAACTAGATCTCTCTGCTAGGGAATGAAAAAGAAGATCTAAGATTTTCCCTCTTCTAGGAATTTGCAAAAGAGATTATTCAGAAGCCAAGTTCTAAAGATTTTAGAGAGTCTTTGGGATGATACAGTCTTATACCCCATCACATCTTGACTGATATATTACTGCATTTCCCTCTGAAATCTCCAATAAACCAACTGTCTACTGCCCATTCTGCGCTGCCATGCCCCCTATTGCCTATGCTGAGCCTCCAGGCCAAGACACACTGTAGTCCTTTACTGACCTTTAATGTTCATAAGTCTGTTCATTGTTGCCATAGACGTGACTATGAATCCCTAAGCCTGGTCAAGATACTGGATCCAACACCACCTTTTTAGATTATACCCAGAAGCCAAGCTGCACAGAACATTAGTTTCATAAACTCCTCCATAAGGCCCACTTCTCTCTCCTCTCTCCTTCTTTATTCTCCCAGCCTGAGGGATTTGGAACTTTGGAACAGGAGTCCCTAAGGTTTCTTCCTGAATCTGGGTTTGGGAATTAGCCTCATCTCCAGAAATAAGATTTATTTTAAGCATCACATAGGGGTAGAAAAGAAAATGTAGGGAGGATGGCCTTTTTGCAGCAGATTTTTAAAAGAACTTCCAGGACCTTGTCTTTATATTGAAGCATGTGTCACTATAGGATCAGAGCAAGGCATTACATTGATCCTTTAAGAAAGTTTTGCTACCTACAGCCCTTGACCCTACTCTTTTTTCAAAAAAAATTTTTTTTAAGGTAATTGTTAGAGATTTCCCAAGGTTTATTTGAAATGACACACCACTGAAAACATAACTGTTACAGATGATTTGTGGATACAGTACATATCACCTATCTTACTTTAGGACAGTCTGTGAAGATATTTTCCTGCTGCAGTTCCTTTATCAAGTGACTTTAGACAGAGATGGGACTGCAAGGGTGACTCAGGTCATGCTAGCAGGTGCTAGTGTTTCATTTGAACTAGTCGTTGGGCTGGGGTGGAGTGAAAGCTCCCTAGGCCAAGGACATCTTTGCAATGTGGAGAGGACCCAAATTACTGGGTGTGGCTTTTTGAATGTTGAAGACCTTGTCAGCATACTGGTCACCCAGTTTCATCATCACTTCATACTGTTTGTACCAAAGCACCACAGTTTCCTTATGAAACTTGGCTTCAAGGCTGGAGACATTTTTGAAAGTATTAACATAAAATCCAATTTGTCTTGACCATAATAATGGTAACTCTTCTTGTAAGTCAACATTAACCTTCAAACCTTCTCTATGCTTTTTGAAATTCTACTTCTGCCTTAGACAGAGGCTCTCATCCTTCCTCCTGAAGCTCTGTTGAGCCTGATGAGGGTGAGCAGGCACTGTCATAGTCCACCAGCTTCCTGCTGCACTTGGTGATGCGATTCTTCAAGTCAGGAAATTGGTCCAGGTAGTTCCCCAGTGTTAGCAAGGATGCATCACGAGTTTTTCGTGGATATCTTTCCAGAGCACATCACCTTTCTCATCAACCATTTTCACACCTTCCTGCCCAGACCAATCCAGCGCATAGACTTCACGCAGTGACTCAGCTTCGTCAAGGTCTCTTGAATGCCTTTGATTGCTTCTAAACATCCTCAGAGTTCTCTCAGGTCTGCTACCCTCTGCTTCTTGCGGCTTGAAGTTCTGGACATACTCTTCAAACTGTTTGTCTTTTATCTCACCAGTTTTCCCTGGCTTCTGGAGGACCTTTTCTTCTGAGTGGCTGAGTCTCTTCGTTCTTGGTGAAGATGCCCTTTTGATGTTGGCCAGGGCTGTGGATCTGGGAGCTGGGAGGAGCTGAGTGCTCAGTGTGGCTGGTGGCACAGAGGGGCGGGAGGCAGAGGGGAGGATCACGAGGAGGGGTGAGGTCTTTGACCTTACTGTTGATATGTTCTTCTGGGACCATCGGGAGCCCAGAGCTCTGCTCTGTTTCATAAGACTCCACAAAGAGAAACTGCAAGTCCCAGTCTTTCACCTCTCTTGGACTTTTTATCTGGTCTCTTCATCACATCTCTTCAGTATAAGGAAGAACAGAAAGGGAGGAGAGAAACTCAGGGTTGTCAGTCAAATGTGTCCATTTACAGAATTTATAAAATATATTGTTGTCTTAATTATCTTTATACTAGCCTGCTATGGCAGGTTTCAGGATCACTGGACCTAGAGGGTGCGTCAAGGAAGATTTTCTTTGATATGGCTTAAATCCCCCTGAATTCATTCCCAAAAGTGCAAGGAAAGAAAGAACAGAATTAAGTAAACATTGCCCATATCGTGGAAGACAATACAGAGAACAATGACAAACAGACAGAAGAACTAACAGACACATACAAAGACATGGATCACTTTACATTTTATTTATTCATTTTAATGAAAAATTATATTTTATTAAAAATGATCTATGTGAGAGGTTCTATAATACAGTAGGGAATAAGAATTATGTTATGTTTACCATCCTGGAGCACACAGTCAAGAAGTTACAAAAAAGAAAGGCAAATTTCACACATGCTACAGACAGACACACAGCCAAGTTCAGTAAAACAAACAAAATCTTTTGGTCTAATCAGATAAAGATCATTTACTAGCCTGGAAACTATTGTAAAGATATTATTTTATTTTTGTTTTCTCCATGTTATTTATACATCCCAAGAATTCTAAAAAATCCCCACCTTTCTGTGATGAAGAGTAGGTGGGCAGCCATAGATCACTCAGAGTGTCAGTATGACAGAGGCCAGAGATGAGGGACATCCAGCTGGCTGGTCACTGGGTGGCCCCTTGTGTAGTCCAAGCATTTCATACCCTGTATTTTGGTCAAAAGAATATCTTTTAAAATTAATTTAAAACTTGTCATTTGAGTCATGGATACTGGCTCTTCACCTGGCCATAGGACCACAAACCCCCTCTCCTCATGCCTAGACTCTGAACAGAATTAACTTTGAAAGGTATTTGGAGCCAGAAAAGGCCTTTTTACCCTCTAGTTATGAGCATTGCCTCCATCCTCTCGCTTCCTTCCCACCCGCCACATATGACCAAAACTGTTTTTCACCTCTGCTATTTTGCACATGCCAGACACTGCCATCTAGTCTTATCTAGGATGTACCTTTAAACCAGACCTCTCATGCCACTTTACTTTATGAAAATGCATCTCTCTGTTCAGTAGTAACTGGAATTAACTATCAAGTCAATAGTCATCTGAATTAGAAATTATATCTCTGTTTTTAAATTATTATCAGTATTATTTGATAACTGTTATTCAAAGTTTTAACTGAAGACACTTCTCATAGAGATACTTTCCCCAGACTCATCATTTTGAATTGAGGGAAATGATTTACTCTCATTGAAGAAATGAGAGTAAAGCTCATTTCTTCACAATGTGCAGTTTTCTAGAAACAGCAGCCAGCTCCATATGAGCAAGAAAACTGGATCTATGTCTGAGGTCAAGAATGCTTTATTCCTATGTATAACAAGACCAACACATGTGGACCATATGGAGGGCAATGAGCATTGACTGAAATATGGGTGACCCAAATCATAGACCCAAGATTTATATATATATAATTTGGTCCACATATATATAGTGTTTCTTGTAATATATTATTTCTATAATATTTATACATACACATATACATACATGCACTATTATATATATTAAGTATATAAAATTAAGTATATTAAATAAATATTAAGTATATATATAACTCTGTGTGTGTATGCATCTGTGTGTGTGTATATATGTGTATGTGTGTAAGTATGTATGTATGTACATGGTGCCAGCCATAGGCTAATCAATGTGAGTTAATTTACCTGGGAAAACAGTATCAGTTGAGCACTGAGATATGTGCTTAGTGTTGTACATATATTACATCATATACAAATCAGCAATAGACAGGCAGGGTAAAATAATGTTCTAAGTAGCAGAGGGATTGGTTGATTTCCACTGAAATGCTGAGGGATTGGTTAGTTCTCATTGAAATTACTTTCCCTAGTTACTTATGCCAGCAACATTGTCACCCTGTCCAGTTTCCCTGAATTATTCCTCAGAGACCAGTAGAACAATGTCACGCTCTAGAGCGAGGCAGAGAGAATGAGCAAAGTATACCATTCTGAATCTGCTTAGTTTTAATGCTATAGATAACCAGGGTCATAAAAGGTGGGAAAAGGAAGTAGATGTAGCTCATTGTGATGTGAACCACATGAGGAACATGCTTTCCAAATCTATGAATAAATGTCAGACAAACTACAGTGACGTAGAAGACCAGGATGCAGCAGATATGAGAGACACATGTGTTGAGGGCCTTGGCCCTTTCTTCTCCAGAACCAATGACCATGACAGTCTTGAGAATGAAAATGTAGGAGAAAAAGATGGCGAGAAAGTCCAACAAGACCATTGCAAATAAAACTACAACTGGATAGAGATGATTAAAGGTGATGTCAGCACAGGCTAGCTTGATGATATCTTGGTGTAGACAGAAAGCATGGGAGAGTACCTGGGATCGACAATAGGGAAACCAGTGTAGGTGAACAACTATTGGAATAATGGACAGACCAGCCCTTGTCAATACCCCTACACCAATCTTCATTACCTGGGTGTTGGTCAGGATAGAGGTATATCTTAAGGTGTTGCGGATAGCAATGAAACGGTCATAAGCCATGGAAAGCAAGGTACCTGACTCCACGACAGAAAGAGTATGGATAAAATAGGTCTGAGAGAAGCAGGTCACATGGCCAATCTCCCTGTGATTTAATCATAGAACACCTAGCACTGTGGGCATTGTGGTCAATGTCACTCCGAGGTCTGTAGCTGCCAACATAGCTAAGAAATAGTACATGGGCTCATGGAGGTTATGATCATTCCTGATGAGAAAGAGAAGAGTTCCATTGCCAAGAAGTATGGAGATGTAGTCTACCAATAATGGGATGAATATCCAGTGCTGTGCTTTCTCCAGGCCTTGGAAGCCAGTAAGCTGGAAGGTGGAAGCAGAGTTATTGAGTGTCATTGCCCGCTTTGCATTTACTCCAGGTAATGCAATAGTAATCAGTTGTATAAAGTTGCTTCTTGCGAGAAGAGAAACCAAAAGAAAAAAGAAGAAAAAGAAATGAACAAAGCCTGCAAGAAGTATGGGATTATGTAAAAAGACCAAATCTACGTCTGATTGGGGTGCCTGAAAGTGAGGGGGAAAATGGAACCAAGTTGGAAAACACTCTTCAGGACATCATCCAGGAGAACTTCCCCAACCTAGTAGGGAAGGCCAACATTCAAATCCAGGAAATACAGAGAACGCCACAAAGATACTCTTCGAGAAGAGCAACTCCAAGACACATAATTGCCAGATTCGCCAAAGTTGAAATGAAGGAAAAAATCTTAAGGGCAGCCAGAGAGAAAGGTCGGGTTACCCACAAAGGGAAGCCCATCAGACTAACAGCAGATCTCTTGGCAGAAACTCTCCAAGCCAGAAGAGAGTGGGGGCCAATATTCAACATTCTTAAAAGAATTTTAAACCCAGAATTTCATATCCAGCCAAACTAAGTTTCATAAGTGAAGGAGAAATAAAATCCTTTACAGATAAGCAAATGCTTAGAGATTTTGTGACCACTAGGCCTGCCTTACAAGAGACCCTGAAGGAAGCACTCAACATGGAAAGGAACAACCGGTACCAGCCATTGCAAAAACATGCCAAAATGTAAAGACCATCGAGGCTAGGAAGAAACTGCATCAACTAACGAGCAAAATAACCAGTTAATATCATAATGGCAGGATCAAGTTCACACATAACAATCTTAACCTTAAATGTAAATGGACTAAATGCTCCAATTAAAACACACAGACTGGCAAACTGGATAAAGAGTCAAGACCCATCAGTCTGCTGTATTCAGGAGACCCATCTCACATGCAGAGACATACATAGGCTCAAAATAAAGGGATGGAGGAAGATTTACCAAGCAAATGGAGAACAAAAAAAAGCGGGGGTTGCAATACTAGTCTCTGATAAAACAGACTTTAAACCATCAAAGATCAAAAGAGACAAAGAAGGCCATTACATAATGGTAAAGGGATCAATTCAACAGGAAGAGCTAACTATCCTAAATATATATGCACCCAATACAGGAGCACCCAGATTCATAAAGCAAGTCCTTAGAGACTTACAAAGAGACTTAGACTCCCATACAATAATAATGGGAGACTTCAACACTCCACTGTCAACATTAGATAGATCAACGAGACAGAAAGTTAACAAGGATATCCAGGAATTGAACTCATCTCTGCAGCAAGCAGACCTAATAGACATCTATAGAACTCTCCACCCCAAATCAACAGAATATACATTCTTCTCAGCACCACATCGTACTTACTCCAAAATCGACCACGTAATTGGAAGTAAAGCACTCCTCAGCAAATGTACAAGAACAGAAATTATAACAAACTGTCTCTCAGACCACAGTGCAATCAAACTAGAACTCACGACTAAGAAACTCAATCAAAACCGCTCAACTACATGGCAACTGAACAACCTGCTCCTGAATGACTACTGGGTACATAACGAAATGAAGGCAGAAATCAAGATGTTCTTTGAAACCAATGAGAACAAAGATACAACATACCAGAATCTCTGGGATACATTTAAAGCAGTGTGTAGAGGGAAAGTATAGCACTAAATGCCCACAAGAGAAAGCAAGAAAGATCTAAAATTGACACTCTAACATCGCAATTAAAAGAACTAGAGAAGCAAGAGCAAACACATTCGAAAGCTAGCAGAAGGCAAGAAATAACTAAGATCAGAGCAGAACTGAAGGAGATAGAGACACAAAAAACTCTCCAAAAAATCAATGAATCCAGGAGATGGTTTTTTGAAAAGATCAACAAAATTGACAGACCACTAGCAAGACTAATAAAGAAGAAAAGAGAGAAGAATCAAATCGACGCAATTAAAAATGATAAAGGGGATATCACCACCGACCCCACAGAAATACAAACTACCATCAGAGAATACTATAAACACCTCTACGCAAATAAACTGGAAAATCTAGAAGAAATGGATAATTTCCTGGACACTTACACTCTTCCAAGACTAAATCAGGATGAAGTTGAATCCCTGAATAGACCAATAGTAGGCTCTGAAATTGAGGCAATAATTAATAGCCTACCAACCAAAAAAGTCCAGGACCAGATGGATTCACAGCTGAATTCTACCAGAGGTACAAGGAGGAGTTGGTACCATTCCTTCTGAAACTATTCCAATCAATAGAAAAAGAGGGAATCCTCCCTAACTCATTTTATGAGGCCAACATCATCCTGATACCAAAGCCTGGCAGAGACACAACAAAAAAAGAGAATTTTAGACCAATATCCCTGATGAACATCGATGCAAAAATCCTCAATAAAATACTGGCAAACCGGATTCAGCAACACATCAAAAAGCTTATCCACCATGATCAAGTGGGCTTCATCCCTGGGATGCAAGGCTGGTTCAACATTCGCAAATCAATAAACATAATCCAGCATATAAAAAGAACCAAAGACAAGAACCACATGATTATCTCAATAGATGCAGAAAAGCCTTTTGAGAAAATTCAACAGCCCTTCATGCTAAAAACGCTCAATAAATTCGGTATTGATGGAACGTACCTCAAAATCATAAGAGCTATTTATGACAAACCCACAGCCAATATCATACTGAATGGGCAAAAACTGGAAAAATTCCCTTTGAAAACTGGCACAAGACAGGGATGCCCTCTCTCACCACTCCTATTCAACATAGTGCTGGAAGTTCTGGCTAGGGCAATTAGGCAAGAGAAAGAAATCAAGGGTATTCAGTTAGGAAAAGAAGAAGTCAAACTGTCCCTGTTTGCAGATGACATGATTGTATATTTAGAAAACCCCATTGTCTCAGCCCAAAATCTCCTTAAGCTGATAAGCAACTTCAGCAAAGTCTCAGGATACAAAATTAATGTGCAAAAATCACAAGCATTCTTATACACCAGTAACAGACAAACAGAGAGCCAAATCAGGAATGAACTTCCATTCACAATTGCTTCAAAGAGAATCAAATACCTAGGAATCCAACTTCCAAGGGATGTAAAGGACCTCTTCAAGGAGAACTACAAACCACTGCTCAGTGAAATAAAAGAGGACACAAACAAATGGAAGAACATACCATGCTCATGGATAGGAAGAATCAATATCGTGAAAATGGCCATACTGCCCAAGGTAATTTATAGATTCAATGCCATCCCCATCAAGCTACCAATGAGTTTCTTCACAGAATTGGAAAAAACTACTTTAAAGTTCATATGGAACCAAAAAAGAGCCCGCATCTCCAAGACAATCCTAAGTCAAAAGAACAAAGCTGGAGGCATCACGCTACCTGACTTCAAACTATACTACAAGGCTACAGTAACCAAAACAGCATGGTACTGGTACCAAAACAGAGATATAGACCAATGGAACAGAACAGAGTCCTCAGAAATAATACCACACATCTACAGCCATCTGATCTTTGACAAACCTGAGAGAAACAAGAAATGGGGAAAGGATTCCCTATTTAATAAATGGTGCTGGGAAAATTGGCTAGCCATAAGTAGAAAGCTGAAACTGGATCCTTTCCTTACTCCTTATAGGAAAATTCATTCAAGATGGATTAGAGACTTAAATGTTAGACCTAATACCATAAAAATCCTAGAGGAAAACCTAGGTAGTACCATTCAGGACATAGGCATGGGCAAAGACTTCATGTCTAAAACACCAAAAGCAACGGCAGCAAAAGCCAAAATTGACAAATGGGATCTCATTAAACTAAAGAGCTTCTGCACAGCAAAAGAAACTACCATCAGAGTGAACAGGCAACCTACAGAATGGGAGAAAATTTTTGCAATCTACTCATCTGACAAAGGGCTAATATCCAGAACCTACAAAGAACTCAAACAAATTTACAAGAAAAAAACAAACAACCCCATCCAAAAGTGGGCAAAGGATATGAACAGACATTTCTCAAAAGAAGACATGCATACAGCCAACAGACACATGAAAAAATGCTCAGCATCACTGGCCATCAGAGAAATGCAAATCAAAACCACAATGAGATACCAGCTCACACCAGTTAGAATGGTGATCATTAAAAAGTCAGGAAACAACAGGTGCTGGAGAGGATGTGGAGAAATAGGAACACTTTTACACTGTTGGTGGCATTGTAAACTAGTTCAACCATTATGGAAAACAGTATGGCGATTCCTCAAGGATCTAGAACTAGATGTACCATATGACCCAGCCATCCCATTACTGGGTATATACCCAAAGGATTATAAATTATGCTGCTATAAAGACACATGCACACGTATGTTTATTGCAGCACTATTCACAATAGCAAAGACTTGGAATCAACCCAAATGTCCATCAGTGACAGATTGGATTAAGAAAATGTGGCACATATACAACATGGAATACTATGCAGCCATCAAAAAGGATGAGTTTGTGTCCTTTGTAGGGACATGGATGCAGCTGGAAACCATCATTCTTAGCAAACTATCACAAGAACAGAAAACCAAACACCGCATGTTCTCACTCATAGGTGGGAACTGAACAATGAGATCACTTGGACTTAGGAAGGGGAACATCACACACAGGGGCCTATCATGGGGAGGGGGGAGGGGGGAGGGATTGCATTGGGAGTTATACCTGATGTAAATGATGAGTTGATGGGTGCAGCACACCAACATGGCACAAGTATACATATGTAACAAACCTGCACGTTATGCACATGTACCCTACAACTTAAAGTATAATAATAATAAATAAATTTTAAAAAAAAAAGTTGCTTCTTGAGAATTCTACCTGTTCATAAGATGTTCACCTGTCCTGACTTTCAGTGACAGCAAGGATAATAATTTAGTCATTCCTGGGAGATTCCTAGGTAGGGGAAGATAGAATGTATAAAGAATATATTATTTAGGGTTTACTATATGTAAGATTATTGGATAATACATTGGAGATACAGCTATTCTT